TGGCAATGGAGTCCCTTAGGAGTTGGAAGGTGTGCTGAAAAAGAGGAGGCACACTTGCCCGAAAGGGCAAGTCTTCCTGATCTGGTACAATGGCAGTGGAGTCCCTTTTCTCTCGCACATTCCCAAGGGCTACGATTTGTGCTCGCAGATGCTTTCCAGGCACAAAGATACCCCGACCCTGTGGGGCCCAGCCCTCAGCCTAGATGCAGACAGGTCATAGATACTGGGGTCTGGTAGACCCGTGTGCCTTGTGCTAAGGGCCAGATCCCACTGGCTAAGAGGATTGGAAAAAGTGTCAGAATCTGGACGTGTTCCAACCACACATGCAGAAAAGTAGATCAACCACAATTTTTTGCACATGTCCACGAACACGTCCACATTCAGACACTTACTGCAATCCTCTTTGCCAGTGGGATCTGGCCCTAAGCCGAAGCTTATGCTCCGGTAGGTCGAGGCTGAGTGGAGAAATAGGCCTGAGGGCAATTTTTTTTGGGTTCTTTTTCCTCATTTTAGTGGTTGGCGATGTTCAGGGAATAAGCTGCCCTACTTCCAGGGCGCAGCTGTGGCACCTTCTTCTTGGTGTGTGGGCGGCCATAGCTGGAGCTTGCCCACCTCTTCGAAGCAGCGCAGGTGGAGGTTCACTTGGCGCTGTGCGCCCTCATCATCGTGGTGCTACTTGGTGGTTGGGGTTGCCAGCTCGCTCTCCATAGCTGCTGGCATGGTCTTCTTCGTCACAGGGATTGGCGCTGCTTTTCCAGGAGGCGCTACATGATTGGTGGGGATTGGAATGGGCGTTGGGTCAGCCACTGCATAGCACGGCGCGCCCCTTCACGTTCGCGCGAAAGTGTTCGAGCATTCGTGCAAACAGCTCACGAACATGTTCGGGCAAACATAATGTTTTTTTTTCGTAAAAAAAATATTGTTTTTTCAGTTTTTTATTTTTAACTAATGATTGGCTACGAATTTGAACAAGACTCCAAGGCAAAAGTTTCTTGTATTATTATTTTACATAACATATAATTTTTTCAGATTTTTCTGAGAACTTCTCTTCTTTTTTTTTTATTTTTTTTTTATGAACATGTTCGCCTCCAAACGCGAACACGGTGAACACGGTGCTACGTAGGGTCAGCGCTAGTACTTGCTGGACCGTACAGGATGGAGGCAGCAGTCGGGACTGCGCCATAGCCAGCTGATACTGAAGGGGGAAGAAGAAGAAGAAAATTCGGGGTTCTTTATTTGAAACTGTTGGGGGTTGAAGGGGGTGCTGTAGTTTTAATCGCGGTTAAAATTCTTGTGGATAAAACGTGATTGAGGCGGGGCCAGAGCTGGGGGAAATTTAAGAATTGAAAAAAACAATTTCTCGACTCTATTTTTGAAGTGTGCTTCCGCTGTGCACTATCTATCCCTACGTTCTCCGGTCTTCCTGTCAGTGCAGATGTCTATGGGAACGTTTGGCTGCAGAGTTTGATTGCAATTCAATCAAACACATAACAAAACACTCACGGAAAAGAAGAAAAAAAATCCCCTTCCAGATTAACAGATAATCGAATTCCTGTGTGCCCTATTCTTTTTCGTTGTTGTTTTTTTGCTGCGTGCGACATTATTCTCTGAAATCACAACAAACAAATAGCATACTAGAAAAATCCGACAATTACCACCACCCCCCTTTTTTTTCTTTTTTTTTTTAACAATTACCACCCCCGAATAGAGAACTAAACAGATGGGAGATGAATCTGACAATTTCCACTCGCCTCTTCCCCCCCG